AAAAAATCATCCCCAGATCTGTGTTGTGGCATAGCGGGTAAAGCCACAGCCTACGATGCCGGCAACCCCTATGGGCGCTGGTTCGGGTCTTGGCTGCTCCACTTCTGATCCAGCGCCCTGCTGGTGGCCTGGGAAAGCACAGTCTAAATACTTGGGCCCCTGTACCCAGGTGGGAGACCTGGAAGAAGCTCCTGGCTCCTAGATTTGGCTTGGCCCAGCCGTGGCCGTTGTGGCCATCTGTGGAGTGAACCAGCAGATGGAAGCTCGCTCGCTCTCTCTCTTTCTCTCTCTGTGCCTCTCCAACTCTGTGTAACTTTCAAATAAACAAATCTTTAAAAAAATCTCCTATTTTTCCTTGTTTTATCTTAATTGATTTTTCTTTCACTTAAAATATAATTTACTCATGTGAGAAGCAGAGAGGCAAGAGAGACATAGACAGGGAGAGCGCCCGTTTGCTGGTTGCTCCCAAACACCCTCCAACCGCCGGGGTTCAGCCAGGCTGTGCGAGGCTGGGGGCCCAGAACCCAATCCAGGTCTCTCTTGTGGGTAACAGGAGCGCAAGCCCTTGAGCCGCCACTGCTGCCTCCCAGGTTAGCAGGTGTTGAGCCCAGGCGCTGCGGCTGGTGTCTCAACCACGAGGCTGTATGCCCTCACGCTCACTCTTTTGTTTAAACAGAGCTTCAGGGGACAGGGCCTTCCCAGGGCTGGCAGGAATCGGGGGCAGAATCCTCCCCTTCCCGCCCCACAAGTGCGAGAGACGCTTGCGACAAAAGGGAAAAGCGATTTCCGGGGATCTGCGCGGATGGCAGAAGAGAATTCCCCGCCTCGCGGTCATCAGCATCAGTTTTCCCTCCCCAGGAACCGACAGGTGTCTGATTTGTCTCCCCGCCCCCTCTTTTGGGGAGTGTTTCCAGCTACACACATCGGGACTCAAGGGCGCCCCACCTGCACGGAGCTGTGGGGGTGCTGGGCGGGGAGGGAGACGAGGTCAAGGCTGAGATGGGGTTGGAGAGCACCCCCTCTAGTGACAGCTTCGTCATGGTTGGTTCAGCGAGTCGTTCTGTGCCAGCAGGAGCTGGGAGGCAGCCAGGCCCTCAGCTGAGGGAGTCCCCAGGGATCCTGCCAAGGCTGGGTGCCCCCGTCTGAGTCACGGGACCTGGGGGAGGCGGTGAGCTGAGGCAGGGGCTGGGGTACCTCCCACCACTCTGCTGTCCCAGGTCCATCATCCCGAGCGGGCCTCAACGAATGCTGTGTGGGTCTCTCTCCGCTCCGGACTGGGTGCACCCGGGGCAGGGACCTCGTCGGCTGTTTCACTGTTGCATCCCCGCCCGGCTCAGGGTAGGCCTTCATCACACACGGGCCAAACGGCAGAGCCGAGCGTCTCGCTGTGGGTGTGTAGCCCACCAGCATCCGCTCCCCCGTGAGTTTGCTGCAGGCTGCAGGAGCGCCTGCCCTTTGCCGCTTTGCTTCCTTTCGCAGTCTTGCAGGGCCCCAGTGCCCAGTGCACAGCAGGTGCTTGTGGCAGGCACTCTGTGCAACACCACGGTTCCCTCCTGTCTTTTTTTTTTTATTTTTAAAGATTTATTCTATTTATTTGAAAGACAGAGTTACAGAGAGAGGTAGAGACAGAGAAAGAAAGGTCTTCCATCCGCTGGTTCACTCCCCAGATGGCCACAATGACTGAGGCTGGGCTGATCTGAAGCCAGGAGCCAGGAGCTTCTTCCAGGTTTCCCACATGGGTGCAGGAGCCCAAGGACTTGGGCCGTCTTCTACTGCTTTCCCAGGCCACAGCAGAGAGCTGGATCGGAAGTGGAGCAGCCGGGACTAGAATTGGCGCCCATGTGGGATGCTGGGGCTGCAGGCAGGGCTTTAACCCACTGTGCCACGGTGCTGGCCCCCTCCCCTCTCTCCCGAAATCAGAACCTCAAGTTGTTCAGACAGCTGTGTCCCCGGGGAATGAAGCACGGCTATGCAAAGTCAACGGCAGCCTACTCAGGACCTGTTCAGGACCATACAGAAACAGGGAGAGAAGACAGTCCACTTTGTCCTTTTCTTTCCCACTTCGGAGTTGCTGTATGAGGTGATGGTGTTGACTCAGCAGCTGTCTTGTGACTGTGAGGCCCCAAACCTTGAGAGAGGAAGGGAGGGTCCCAGGTGCTTTGATTCCTTGAACAAGCCTCGGGGCCTTGTTGCCCGATAGACCCGGGCCTCGCATCCTGAGCCCCTCTTGCAGCTGCAGCATACTTGTGACGTCAGCTCCTGCTGCAGGGACTTCAATGAACAAGAGGCTTCATTCACCGAGCGCTGCCCACCCATGAGCTCCACACGCTGTCCAGGAGGCACTCAGGAATCCTGCGGCCACCGAGACCCTGGTGTCAGCTCCCCAGGTCACAGATGAGGCAGAGGCACCGAGAGCCTAGGCAGGGGGCTCGCAGTCCCCTCCTGTCTCAGTGCCATCCTCCCTGGAGACCGGCAAGGGGGGGGATGTCTCAGAGGGATCTGAGGGAGCGAGGGAGTGGGCTGTGTGGGCTCGGTTCAGAAACGCACAGTACTTGAGTCTTTCTGCGCTGTGTGCCCGTTCCTGGGGGAAGCGTGGGGACCTGTGTGTGCGTGGGGTCCAATTCTTCCCTGATCATCATTTGCTGCGCACCCACTGTGTGCCAGCTCTCAGGTACTTTACGTCTATCAGCGGCTCTCAACCGGGGGCACTCCTGGCTCTGGGTGGGGGGCATTCAGCAAGGTCTGGAGATGTTTCTCAGTTCTTGCAGTTGGGCAGGGGTGCTGCTGGCATTTCGCGGGTGCCGGATGCTGCTCCATACCCTGCAGTCCACAGGACGGCCCCCCATGAAGAATGATCTGACCCCCAAGTGTGCATTAGGCTTGCTCTCACAAAGACGCCCATTGCTACAAGTTAGACGACTGAGGCTCAGAGAAGGGAAGTGATTTGGCCAAAGTCACCTGGATTTGGCGCTGGACACAAATGCAAGCCCGTTTCCTTCCGCGGTCACGGTGCCCCCTTTGACGCCCTCCCCATTTGGCACACCGGATTGCTGGTTCGCTCCCCAATTGGCTCCAACGGCCAGAGCTGCGCTGATCCAAAGACAGGAGGTGGCAGCTTCTTCCTGGTCTCCCATGTGGGTGCAGGGGTCCAAGCACTTGAGCCATCCTCCACTGCTTTCCCAGGCCATAGCAGAAAGCTGGATCAGAAGAGGAGCAGCCGGGACTAGAACTGACACCCATATGGGATGTCGGCACCGCAGGTGGAGGATTAACCTACTGTGCCACAGCACCGGCCTCTGGGTTGCTTTATTTAAAAAGACATCTTCACTTATTTATTTTTGTTTCATTTGAAAGGCAGAGAGACAGGTATGAGATCCACTGGTTCACTCCCCTAAAGTCCTCACACAGCGGGGGCCAGCCCGGGGCCAAAGCCAGGAACCTGGAACTCCATCTGGGTCTCCCATGTAGCTGACACGGACGTAGGACTTGAACCGCCACCTGCTGCGTCCCAGGGGGTGCATCAACAGGAAGTTGGATCCGAAATGGAGCAGCCTGGACTTGAGCCAGGCCCTCTGACGTGGGATGCAGACGTCTGGAGTGGTGACGTAACTCCCAAGCCAAATGCCTGCCCCAGGATTAACTTCAAAACAAGCAGCTGAGACTCAGGGCGGCGCCGTGTCCAGCCAGAGCTCACCGGGCAGAGCCTCCCCAAGGACCTCGACAGAAGGACCCACTCCACCCCCCAGTCTGACAGGGTCACTTCTTTTGTACCCTGCCCAGGAGGTCCCCTTGAGGCCCAGGTCAAACCCCACCTTGCCTGTGACCCCCAACGGCACCGCGCTGAGAGAGCTGGGAGGGCAGAAGCCACAGCCCAGCAGGCACCTGCAGTCTTTACCCAGAAGTCCCTGGGAGAGCAATCGCTCCTGCCCAAGAGGGGATTCCAGCCGGGAGGGGGATGTTGGTGAGTCAGGAAATTCATCGCACAGACAGTCCAACCCAGTGCCGACAGGGGCCAGGCCAGGGGGGCATTTCACACATGCAAAAGCAATAAATAAGGCGCAGGGCGCTGTTCCAAGGACTTTCCATCGACCCAGGAGTCGGCTCCGCTAGTAGGCCCATTGCACCGAGGGTCTGAGGGCAAGGAAACCAGCTGGAGTTCTCCCAGGGAGCAAGGGAGCTGGGATTTGAATCTCACCTTCCAGCCCCGTGCTCGAAGGCACGTGAGGACATCTGCCCAGCCGTTCCAGGCCCAAGGCCACACAGATCAGCCGGACTGGAGGCCCGGAGGCGGGGGCTCCCAAGGCCCTGTCCTGGGTGGTGGGGGATGGGCACTGGCCGCGGGCTAAGCGGCCCCGCAGCAGGTCACGCTTCCCCTGGGAACGCCACAACAGAGCTCAGGGTCACGGGGCAAGTTCTAAAACACAGGGAAAAAGGAGAAAGACTCAGGAAAGGGGAACTGGAGAGAGCTTGCGCCAGCCACGCACACTCCTTCTCAAGGTCGCGGCAGCGCCCGGGGGCACCCGTGGGCCCCGGAGTCCCGCGGCGGCGGCGGCACCGCGCGGGCCACGGCCGCCCCGCTGCCTTCCGGGGGCGCGCGCGGCGGGGCGGCCAGTCTGCGTGCGTGTGGCTGCGCGCGGCGGGTGTCGCGTGTGCCGGGTGGGAGTGGCATAGCCCGCGGCGGCGGGTGTGGGGGGGCCGCCACGCGTCCCGGCGCCGACTGGGAGCGCGGGCGCGCGCGCGCGTGGCCTCCCTCGGGCCCTCCGGAGGGGGTCCGGCCCGAGCTCCCGGGACACCCCCGCGCGAACGCGCCGAGCGCCGCCGCGCCTCCCGGGGCGCCTGGTGCGCGCGCCGAGCGCCTCTGCGGCCGAGCGCGGCGTGGCACTTGGCAGACGCTCCCTTGGCGGCAGCGGGCCCCGCCGTCTGGGAGCCCCGAGGGCCGGCCCCCTTCGCCCCGCGCCCAGCCTCCGCGCGCAGCCTCCGCCCCCGGCCCCGGTGCCCGCCCCCAGTCCCGCCCGCCGCAGCTCCGCCGGGCCAGCTGCTGCGCCCGGCTGCCGGCGCGCCCCGTCCGGGATGGGGCGCCTGGACGCCTGAGTCGCCGCGGTTCGGCGCGACCTCCGCGCGGGGGGAAGGAGCCGGCGTCGCGCGGCCGCGCTAGCATGGAGGCGCTCGGCGGCAGCGAGCCCAGCGGCGATGGAGCCGGGGATGGTGCCCACCAGGACTCCAGGGGCCCTGGCGCCGCTGCGCCCAGCTCCGGCCCCGGCCCGTGCGCGGCCGCCAGGGAGTCCGAGCGCCAGCTGCGCCTCCGCCTGTGCGTCCTCAACGAGATCTTGGGCACCGAGCGGGACTACGTGGGCACCTTGCGCTTCCTGCAGTCGGTGAGTGTGGCCGGGGCGCGCGGGGCAGCTCGCCCCCCAGCGCAGGGCGCCCCCCACAACCTGTGGCCGCTGGCCCTCTCGGGGTGGGGGGCGTCTGGGGAGCCGCCCCCGGGGGCGCCCCGCCGGGCGCGCAGGGAACGGGGGCGCCCCGGGCTCCTTCGGAGTTGCGTCGTCGCCTCCTGGCTGTGGGTCTCCGGTCCTCGCCCCCCTCACCCCCACTGCGCGCTGCTGCCCTTTTGTCTTTTTCTTCCCCTCCCCGCCTTTCAAATAGTTTTAAAATTAGTTACATCCGCGAGGCGGGGGCTCCGGGACCCGGGCGCCCGGGGCTTTCGCTGCTGCGTCTTTTTGCCGCTGGCGCCTTGGCCGCCCGGTGCACCATCGCCGGCTCCTGGGGGTGGGGGGCGCAGAGCCTGCGAGCCCCGGCTCCCGGCGCCTTTCCGCGCCTAGCAGAGCCGGGCCCGGGATGGGCAGAGCCCCAGGGTGGGACCCCGCAGCCCGCCCACCCGCCGCGCACACGCCGGCGCCTGAGCCCGGGTTTCCGACTCAGACTGGGGGGGAGGTGTAGACCCCCCCCCCCCCATCTCCAAGTCGCAAAACCACCGCCTCGGCCTTTGTGAAACAGCAACCGTGTGCGGGGCGCCGGGCGTGCGCCCTTAGCAGGTGTGGACCGCGGGGTGGAGGCGCGTTTTCTGGTCTGCAGGGCGCAGGGGTTCCGCGCTGAGAGGCGCAGTAACTCGCCCAGGGGCGCGCCGCTGGCCAGGTGCGGCTGCTGGGCGGGGAACTGGGCAGCCCCAGGCCGTGCCTGCACCGCCGGCGGGGAGCTGTGGTTCTCTTAATTCTGCGAGAGGGAGGAAGGGGGCCGCTTCTCTCTCTCCTGGGAAGTGAGAAAAGTGGCCGGGGCCGGGGGAGGGGGTGGGGGTGGGGGTGGGGGTGGGGTAGGCGGGTCTGGGGTGGAAGTTAGAGACGGCGGCCGCTTTCATCTTCGTGCCTCCTGCTGCCTCCTCCTTTACTTCCCTTCTTTGCTCCCGGGAAGTCTTAATCCTGGTGCAGGGAGGGCTGGTGCCAGGGCCATACCCTGGAGCGCGCAGGTTCCGCGGGACAGAGGGGCCCGCTGGGGTCCGCCTCGCGGGGCTCCCCTCGGCTGGGTGAGGGCCGGGTTCCAACTCCAGAGCCCTTCACCCTGTGAAATGAGGTGTGTGTGTGGAGGGGGAGGGGCGCATGCAGAGGCTTTGAAAACCGTTTGGCCCAGCGACCCTTTGACAACAGCCTGGGAGAATAAGGCCGGGCTGGCTGTCTTTCGTGGCGCTTCCCCTCTCAGTTTACAAAAGCATCCGCTGGCCTTGGGTGCAGAGAGCCCCGTGGCTCTGAGCAGTGGGGGACCCTCGGGGAGCCCCTCGCTCCCCTGCCCAGCCACAACCTGCTCCTCTTCGGCCGCAGAAGAAACAGGAAACACGGGCGATTTTTATATTAACGGGGGGGGGGGTCCAGTCCTGTCTCCCCCACACCCTGGGCCCTGGGCGGTGCTGGGGTGAGCCAGTTTCGGCTCCACGTGTCGAGGCGGGGAGAGGAAACCAGGATAATGGAAATTGATTAGTGTCAACCATTCTTATTAAAGAAATAAGACAAAAAAAATGTCTCTTCTCCCACGGTGCCCTGGGTGCTTTGAGTCTGCCGAGTTGGGTGAGTTTTTGTTGCTGATGGGGAGGGAGTGGCTGTGAGCCGAGTCCACGGTGACACCGGTCTCGTAGGGACCTTGCCGCTGCGTCCACCTGGGTTTCGCCACCTGTGCACTCTGGGAGGTCCGCCCGTGCTTCCTGCCTGCCGTGTCTTTGGTGTGTCCCCACGCTGGTGCCAGAAGGGACTGGCTGTGTAACCTGAGCAGCTGGACCTCCCCTGGAGCCGCAGGAGTCCTCTTGCCCCCTGCCCCGGAAGGAGTAGCCCCAAGGCCTTTTTCTGGTTTTTTTTTTTTTTTTTTTTTTAAACCTGGGGCTTAGAGCTTCAGGAACCGCTTATTACCGTGGCTTCTCCCCGGCCGCCGGCAGGTTCTGATTGTCTTCCATCTTCCCACCCTCTCTCCCCAGGCTTGTACTAGCTCAGGGATTTCCCCCAGCCTCCTGGCTCCAAGAACACACGGGAATCCCTTGCTGCCGTTCATTGCGTGGGCAGAGACGGGTCTGGCCCTTGCTGGGAGCTGGACCGCTGGGGTGGGCTGGGGTCCTCTCCCACGGAGGGGACAGTCTGTTAGAAACGCTGCGCTAGCTGCAGGCTGGGCCCTGGAGCCGGACAGCCTGGGCCTGGTCCTTGGACTTGGGGCCTTGCCCACTCGGCTTTACCTTCCTGAGCCTTGCCGTCCTCACCTGAGAAGTGAGGGGGAGATAATAGACCTTAGTAAGCTTTTAAAGAGGATCAGAGAGCGCTTTTCATTGATACAAAGCTTTCGGAACAGTTCCTGGCGAGCAGTAGGTGTAGAAAGACTAGTCATTGTTAATTACTGTTATGTGATCATTGTAGTGTGGGGTTCCAGCTTCCAGGGAGCAGGGGTGATCAGGGAGGGCTGCCTGGAGGAAGTGAGGGCAGAAAAGAGGATAGGGCTCTGAGTAGGTTTCCTTTTGATTCTGTAAGCTCCGGCCACAGGAACCAGTGGTTTTCATCTGTTCCAGGCCTGGGGCGTTGGGTTGCTCCAGAACCTCCCCATCTGGTCTCCAGGGGCTCCGTGAGGGGTGCTTTGTGTGTGTCGAAGGCTCTCCCATGTGTTGCTGCATCGGTCTCGAGTGACAGTGCCGAGGCTGTGGTGCCCGGTGGCCAGGGCCGCCTGGCTTCGTGGGTCTCCACGTTTAGAGGTCGCGGTGTGGAGAGCGGTGCTGGGAGGGCCGGGCAGGGCCGGGTGGTGGTGATGCACTGTCCTCCTGCCGTTGAAGTGCCTCTCCCGTGGTTTCCGCAGTGATGGGCGCTGGCATCACCCCTCGGACGGATCATGTCAGCTGCACTGACCCCAGAACCTGTATCTCCCAGGCTGCCTCTGGCGTCCAAACTAGGGGCCGGGCATGTGGCACAGGACTTGGAACCCTGGCTCTGCGACCCTTGACCTTCACCCGTGCTTCCTCCTGTTACTTCCCCTCCGCGACTGCTGTTCCCCATCACCCAGAGTGGGCCGGGCCGCGGTGAGCGGTGTGGTCAGGCCGCCGGGGTCTTCCTCCATGCTGCTGTCTGTTCATGGGCGGAGGCGGTGTGGGGCTGGTGGTCACGGCTTGGCCTTACTCGCCGGCGATGGCGGTGACCCTGGGCAGCTCCCCTGCCTGCTCTTTCCTGTCTGTGCAATGGGTGTAGTGCTGCCGCGTCAGGAAGCGTGGACGAGCCTGAGGCTGAAGCTCCCAGGACGGTGCCAGCCACGTCGTAGGTGCTCGGGGTGCGGCCATGGGGAGGGGGAGGAGGCAGAGAAGACTGCCTTTTGGGGGTTCAGAGACCCCCTCCTTAAGGAGGAGGCCACGCGAGCCCTGGGCCACCTGCCTCTTGGTTGGGTTGGTTCAGAACCCATGTAATGGGTGGTGGACAGAGAGGAAGACCTCGTCTGAGTGAGCAGAGAGACCCTTGGGTAGGGAATCCAGCCACAGCCCCTGAGGCTGAGGACAAAGCCCTGTGACTCCCAGCAGCCAGAGCGCTCTGCCCCGGGCGGGGGGCAGTGTCTCTGGGGAGAGAATCGTGGGTCAAGAACACCCAGATGGGAGGAGACCCAAGTTCCCCTTCTCACTGGGGCGCTGCTCGCCAGAACTGTGCTTTTGTGCCATGACGATGGTTTCTTTTCCTTTTTTTTTTTTTTTAATAAGTCCTCTTATTTATTTATTTGAGAGGTAGAGTTACAGACAGACAGAGGGAGAGACAGAGAGAGAGGTCTTCTATCCGCTGGTTCACTTCCCAACTGGCTGCAATGGCCAGAGCTGAGCCAATCCAAAGCCAAGAGCCAGGAGCTTCTTCCAGGTCTCCCACGTGGGTGCAGGGGCCCTAGGACTTGGGCCATCTTCCACTGCTTTCCCAGGCCATAGCAGAGAGCTGGATTGGAAGTGGAGCAGCCGGGACTAGAACCGGCGCCCATATGGGATGCCGGTGCTACAGGTGGAGGCTTAGCGGACTGTCACAGCATTGGCTGTGATGATTTCTTTCTTTTCTTTTCTTTTTTAAAAGAGATTCTGGACTCCCGGTCTCACTCCAGGGAGGCGTGCCAGGGTGCTGGGGGTTGGGAGCACAGTTTGGATTCCGAAGCCATTGAGACAGAGTGACCGAGCTGGTGACGTTAGCAAGCACACGTAGCACAGTTCTGCTTTTGGAAAACGAGCAGACAGCACGGGGCCGGGAGCTCTCAGAGCAGGCTGCCGGGTGTGTATCTGGCGGAGAACCAGCGGGAATACAAGCAAGGAAAAGGGTGCAGAAGTGCTGCCTGGGAACCCCTTCCATAGGAAGATACGCGCACGTGTGGCTGTAGGAACAGACGATGCCAGGGGCCGGGGCTGTGGCACAGCGGGTTAAGCCGCCCCTTGGCGACACCAGCATTCCTATCGGAGAGCCGATGTGAGTCCCTGCTGCTCTGCCTCCGACTCAGCTCCCTGCTGGTGCACCTGGGAAGGCAGCAGAAGATGGCCCACGTGCTTGGGCCCCTGTACCCACAGGGGAGAATGCCAAGTTTCTGGCCCAGACCTGGCTGTGGCGGGCATCTGGGGAGTGACCCAGGGGATGGACGGTCTCTCTGTCTGACTTGCAAATCAATCAGTCTTTAAAAGAACCCACCAACAGAGAGAACTGCATTTGCATCATGGCTGTTGGGTAAGTGCGGCTGTAGTCACGTTTGCTAACGCACAGTGCAGGCCCTGTGTGAAGCCCGCTCTGTGTATGCACTCGGAAGCGGCAGGTGTGCCTGTGCCTCCCAGTTTCCAGATGGAACAGAGACAGCGAGAGGCCAGGCTGTGTCCCGAGATGGCGCGGCCTGCCAGAGCTGCCCCTGGGACCCG